AGCAGTGGGATCTCAAAACATTTTCTTCAAAGGCTGGCGGGCGGCTACCGCCAGCCAGTGGGGTCGGAGCCTAAGGCCCACCCCAGCTCCGACCATCATTGTCCTGGCAGCAGGCCCCGGTTAGCCATAGATTGCCTCGACGAATCCCCAGATCTCTCTACTGGGGGGTAACCGGGCCTCACGCTCCTATCTAAACAGGTTACAGGGCAATGCCCCAGCACCGGCCACGACGGCCAGCGTCTTTCTGGCATCCGCTAAAGTAGACCACTAAACATCGCAGGTTCATCCGGCTTCAGATGAGCCTCTACCGCCACTGAAATCCTGGATCCGGTATCTGTAGAGGCTCAAAGATATCCATGATTGCTGATGATTACTGATGATTACTGATGATTGATTTTTGCTCCGCTCTTGAGGATTTCTTTATTTGCAATAGGAAATCTGAGAGGATTTCGCTTGAACCACCAGTATACGGCATTTCGCCGCCTACTCCAAAAATATTGTGCTTTGGGCCTCAGGACCACAATGGCCGGGTTTTTCTGTTTGTTTGTTTCTGTTTTTTTTTCCCATTTACTACATGGAGCTGGCAGAAGAGGTTTTTCAGAGAATGTGCAAGATGGAGAGAGTATCTTCCTCCAGAAGGTGCAACGCACTCGCCATCTGCCAGACTACATGACAAAAATCTAGGAGGAAGGATTATTGTAGAAAGCGGGGAGCTCACCCTGGTGTGAGGGTCTTTTTTTATCTGCTAAAGCTAAAGCTGGGTAATGGTAGTGGTGTGATACTGTTTTTTCATGTGTACGTGGGCCTCGTTAGACACTCCTATTGAAATCCTCAGGCAAAAGGAAAAATTCCTTTTGGTTCAAAGGGAGATTTGGGCCCTTCGTTCCACCTGTCCTCGGGGACGTCGCCCGAGGACATTTCCTTCGAGCGATGTCAGAAAGAAAAAAGAAAAGAGAAAGAAAATCAAATGTGCTTGAGGCCTTCAGCCAATAGGGTGCCGCCACGATCCAGCTTCTCGGTTGTAATGTCTCTCTACCCATGGGCCCGCTCCTCTCTGTGAAAAGCGGATTCCTTTTGCCCAAGGGACCTTGGGCAAAAGGAAGAAATGGCTGGGGAATCCTCGGAGCCCAAGGAATTTTTTTATTATTATTATTTTTTTTTACTTTTTTTTGTTGTTTGTCATCCTTGAGCAGGGGCCATGCTAATCTTCTCTGTATCGTTCCAATTTTAACGGATGTCCAGAAGGACAGCCCAAGGAATTTTCTTCGGAGTGTTTTCACCTTTTTTTTCCCCGACTGGAACTCGGGGACTTGACGCGCCCGAGGAGTGTCTAACGAGCCCCTTTTGCATTGGGCACTGGGACCATGATAAAATACGAAAGCCAGTTCAGGGAGAAAGCAGAAAAAGAGAGGTGGGGGCGTGGGGAAGGGGTGAGAAAAAAACGAAAGAGATAAGAGAAAGAAAAATGAAAAACAGCTGTCATGTAGATGGCAGGTGCATCGCAGCTTCGGGAAGAAAACACTCTCTCCATTTTGCACATTCCCCCAAGAACCTCCCCTGCGAGCTCACTAAGGAGCAGATCCCACTGGCAAAGAGGATGCGAAAAAGAGTCTGAATCTGGACGTGTTTGTGGAGATGTGCAAAACATTGTGACTGATCTGCTTCTCTGCATCTCTGTGTGGAACACGTCCAGATTCAGCCACTTTTTCCAATCCTCTTTGCCCGTGGGATCTGGCCCTAAGGTGGAACAGCTTTCGCTTTTCTGACGTGACGCGTGCCAGCTAGGTTTTCTGCCCCCTTACACAACATCATATTCTCAAGACCTGTCTCTTATACACATCTAGATGTGTATAAGAGACAGCCCCTTACCGTCCCCTCCCTACTTTCCTAACCATGCTGACACTTCAAGTTTACGGAAAACGGGCGGGTTTTAAATTATTTTCTTATTAAAAAAAAAAAAAAAAAAAAGAGGCGTGTTCTCGTCATTCACAGATGGTCGGCTGGAAAGGATTGCCAATTGCACTAGCCCTGCCACAAAAAGAGCTGGCCCCGGTAATTGCAGAACCTGATATACCGCATTTTTTCGAAGTTTCCCAGCGGAAATGTTGTTGGGGTCCGAAAGAAAGATAATGTATTTTTGCAGCGAGAGTGGGACCGCGAATACTGTAAAGCTGCAACGAAAAATGTATTTTTTCAATGCAACTTGGCACCCTCCATTATTTTTGCTGTGAAACTACCGCGAACGCACTGTTTTTAAAACTTACCCAAAAAAGTTGGTAGATTTTAATAATCATTTTATGGCAAATACGCTTGTAATCTCTGAGGCTCCTTCCTCTTTCAGTCAGTCATCACTGTGAACTATGGCGAGCCTTTTTTTGGGGGGGATAGGAATCATAGTATTGCATTTCCTCCTGTTCTTGCCAACACGTCAGTTTGGCAATTTAGCGTTATGTCCTCCGCAGTTTATACAAACCCAACATTTTTTTTCCCTCTTCTTGTTTGTTGTTTTTGTCCCTGGGTTGAACCAGATAGCAGTTATGAATGGGGAGACAGTAGTACTGCTTCAACTCCTGTTTTGTTAGTTTGGAGTTTTTTTGGGACAGTTTGGGGTCCTCCTTTCTGGCCGAGGGTGTCACGTAGCCCATAGTGCCCGCTATTGATCCTCTCTTTGGAAAATGCTTTGCTGTTGCTGGTTCCATTTTCTATCTCTGCTCCCGCAATAGGGCGATATGTTTACTCATTGTTTACCGGTTTATACAAGATTGTCTGGCCATGAAGGTATAGACGACCTTCTCTCTCTCTCTCTCTCTCTCTCTCTCTCTCTCTCTCTCTCTCTCTCTCTCTCTCTCTCTCTCTCTCTCTCTTTTCGTGATGATGTGGAATATGATGTGGCGATCAGATTGTCCGACTGCTGAGTAAAACGATGTATGTCCACTGTGTCGCTTTGTTTGATTGGAGACGCAAAAGTTGAGGGGTCAACAGTTTCTCAGTGTCTGAAGCGTGGTTTCGGAAGAGAACACGTGTCCGACGTTCGTGGCTCGGCGTGAGCACGTGTTACACGACTGATCGGACGGTTGAGGCCACGTCTATGGTCAGGTCGCGATCAGCGTGGGTGCCGGCGGGACTCGATGTGCTATCTTGCTGATCGGTCTATAATGCATGAATGAGGGCCTAGGTGGTTGCTCTATGCATGCATGAGGGTCGTTCTGATCGCTGTACGTATATCTTCACGTAGGGTGGCAATTGATTTCAGGAGATTGCGCTGATAGATATCATTTCACGTCACAACGAGCGCCTCGCTCGAATCAATCCTTTTTATTCCTTAAAAAAAAAAAAAAAAAAATCCTGACATCGATCCTTTTTCGTGTCCAAACAATCTCCAGAGGGTTGTAAAACCGAGAAAGACGCAGCTTAAATTGATCCCTTCGTCTGTCTGAAGTCATTGCTTTTTTTTTTTTTTGTTATGAGGCTAATTGAGCGTTTTGTGCTTTATGTCTGCTGTGATTTTCGACTTTCACACCGCAAACGTGAAAATGGCGAGAGTATGAATGGGTCTATCTTTAGTTGATGTATCAATCCAGATGCAATTAGACGACCGAAAATAAAATAATTGTGAATTACCTGGGGCCGGTCAATTCAATTATGATGTCTCAAGGCTGTAGCCCTTTTCAACTCGCGTAAATAGTCCCTTCGATGTGTACATCCTACGGTGCTCCATGTAGCTCATGGACTATGACGAGAGTCGCTGGCGCCAGCTCAGCGTCGTCAGGGGCAAACGAAAGGTAAGTTCTCTTCTCTCCTCTACGGTATAAATACTACATCGATGCCTACTTCTAGCTCTCGTCAGGGTTCAAATTTTGAAAAATCTTCCCGCGCTGCGTCGTCGCTGTCTGAAAAAAGCAAATAATTCCCAAAGAAAAGCGAAAAACATAAAAGGTGGCGCTCTATCTCGTCGCGCCCGAAACCTGTCCTTCATTCCCCACTCGTTTTACCGGTAGCCCCTCCCCATTGAAAACAATATATATACATTTTTGGGTCTGGGTATTGAAAAATAAAAATAAAATGATTTGATTGATGGATTGATCGTGAAAACAAAAAAAAAGACCGCGCCAGCAACGGTCATGACCGCGGGCCGCGGTCATGCCCGCGGTGACTGCGGCCGCTGGGGATACATAGGCAACACGTGCTGGGAACCGGGCCCACCATCCCATGTCAACACATATGTAAGACAATTTGCGAGCACCAGGTCAGCTGAGAGTATGCCAACATTCACTAACACTAACCAGAAGACCGAGACCAAAAGCCCAGCTACCGGAGTACTCTTCAACAGGCCAACCAGTCTAAGTTTTTTTTTTTTTTTTTTTCCAGTGTTACAAAGTGGGGAGGGGGGGGGTATTGGGGCCGATAAGAGCATCCCCCAATAGCAGACACCCTCAATTGTGGCTGGCTCCAGTCTATTGGTGGGGAGCTGCACCTGCTGGAAACCGTGTCCAGCGTCCCACAGACAAGATCACATCCAGTTCAACCAAGAGGACCAGCATTGATTTCCCTCTAACGAGGGGATTGACTGTCCATCCGACCAAGTACTGTTTTCTTGTTCTTGCAGTAATGATCATGTCTGAAATCTATCTGCAGGTAGACTGGAGAATCTCTATGCCGTAAAGTGAGAGCATGCAAATGCCATCATCAAGCTTTGCATCCCCACCAATAGACTGGAGCCAACACTCCCCGACAGCCACACGGTACAAATGGGGGATGCTCCTATCACTTTCATCAGTAACCTGGGGCAAGGTTTTTCTATGACTACATTAATTAAAAAAAAAAACAAAAAAAACTTGACATCCCTATTCGACGTATTCATCCTTCTCTAACACACCCTTCCACCTCCGGTCCTCCGTACGGTGCACTATGACTACCTTACTCACAAAGGCCCATCCTTCATACATCTATGATCTATTCGAGTCGGCAAGTTTCGCTCTATGAGCGATACCTTCCAGCACAGGCAGAATGGCACCTTCACCTGTCGTCATGCTCGGTCGGTGGCGTCTCATGCTCGCACATCTCAGCCCCACTTGTGCCGCTTCCAAGGCCAGATCAATGTCCCAACTTCCTGCGTTCGGGTCAAGAATACTTCTGAAGATTGCAACATCTTTGTCAATTTCCAGTGCATCTTCCATGATTCCCAATGCATTCGTTAACTTCCCGGTGAGCATCTCTAGGATAGTGATGCCAAATGCGAAAATATCAGTCTGGGGGGTGAAGACCCTTATTTGAAAGAATTCTGGGGCCATGTACTTTGCATCGCCTTCTCCGAACGGATTCGTACCGCACGTTTCACCGTCATTTGTAACCAGATGGCCGAGCAAGGCCATATCAACCTCCATGATCTTGGCGTTAAAATTACTATCCAGAGAAATGTTTTCGGGCTTGATAGCACAATGGATGATAGGGCCACCTGCTAGCGACTTGCTGGAGTGAAGGAAGGACAAGGCTTGAGCAACCTGAGCCATAATCCGCAGGCGGATGTGCCATGGCAAGAAGCCCTTTTGTGATCCTTGGGTGGATGAGATCCATTCTGTCACATTTCCTCCGGCCATATGCTCGTAAACCAGACAATTTTCTTCGAAGCACACTCCAAGAAGGGTCTGGAGGTGGGGGTGTCGAAGAGCCTTCAACAGGTCCACAATCTCCCTCGTTAACCGGACATTCTGATAGGTTTTCGCGCTGTTTCCATCCCCGAGTCTCTTTACAGCGATCGTTCCCATGTAAACACATCCGTAATGTCGTTGTTCTAGTTTGCAGCTATCATGGAAGCCGTTTGTGGCAGTCGTCAACTCGTGTAGGGAAAACTCTCGCTGACCTGCGCAACCTTCCATGATCTTCAACTTGCAATCCAGTTCTTGAACCTTGACGTTTGATTTTTCACATATCTCTTTGAGTGCCTCCTTTTCAGACAACAGATTGCCTACCTCATTCTCCAGCTGCTTGACCCTCTCTAACTGGATTTCCCTCTCTTGCTCTGATCGTCTAAATACCTCCAACTTCTCTTTGTCTGAGCTGTCTCTCTCAATCCCCATAGTGATTAGCTCAGTCTCAAGCTCCTTTACCCGTTGTGCATGCCTTCTCTTCTCTTCTTCCAATTCCTCTTCGAGTGCCCTCCTCTCCTCCTCGCTATCCTCCTTCAACGTGCTTAAATCGGTCTCCAGCTGCTTTATTCTCGGTACATCTGCTTCCGCAAATTGCAGTCCCTTGGCAGACTCTTCTCTCACATTTCCCACTTCCATTTTCAATCTCCCCTCAAAGTTGGGCTTGGGACAACCTTCTATTGTAATGAAACACGTCTCCTCTGAGTCGGGCTTGGGAGTCTTGGGACACTCGTCGTCTACGACGTCGAGTATGCTAATGAAACGCAATGTCCTCTCACAAGGAAGGACCAGCATACTGTAGTTCCTACACAGAATGCTCTGTGGAGTCTGTGCCAATACCTCCTGGCCACTGCATAGCATTTTAATCAACTGATAATTTGAATCACTCCAGACTTTGATGGTCCCGTCCTTGGATGCGCTCAAGATGTACGGCAAATATGGATGGAAGAACGCTTGCACCACCGCCTTTTCGTGTGCATCGCAAGTGGTCACACATTCTTTCCTGTGGTAATCCCAGACCTGTAGCTTGCCAGATTTATGCCCCGTGATGATAAGCGGCTTCCGTGGTTTAGCGCAGAATCGTATAGAAGTAACTCGCCTCTCTGATTCAAATGTTTGGAGGACAGCCATCTTCTTAGCATCCCATACCTTGACTACCCCCTTCTTATGCGCGGTCAAAAAAATGTGCGATTCCAGAGCATGGAATTGCAAAATGGTTACTGTATCAATGGTGTGTGGATCCAGCGCTTTCCATTTGTGCAAATCCTGGTCGAAATCGCAAAACTCAATTGCTTGGGCACCATTCCGTCCGTTCGCAATCCATACTACGCATTGTGCTCCGGAATGTACAGCCCAAGTACTGCCGAAATAATCTGAACGCAGCGATTTGCTGACAATTTCTCGCATCTCAAGGTCGGCTGTTTGCAAGATCTCATACACAACCACCTTGCACTCCAAGTACCCGTCAGCAACCACTACCTGATCTTTCTGGGGTAGGAATTTGGCTTCACAATAATGTCCACGGTTACAAGGCCGGACGGCAACCTGCTGCTCATCATCATAATTCCACACTTGAAGGCATGGAGGGTGTTCAGCAGAAAAAAAAACGATCCATGGCTTGCTAGGGTGCACATCAAAATGATCTTTGTTCCCGACAATGCTACGTCGCTCCTGAAACTTCAGTGTCAGCTTGAGTTCCTTCTGCACATCACGACCTGCCATTGCTGATGCTCACGAGATCCGATTGATGCCGCACTGAAGGTCTCGTCTCATCTGCAGGGCCGCGCTGGCTAATCGTCTCCCTACTGGATATTTGCTCGACTGCCCCAGGCCTCAGCTTTCGCTTCAGAATGGTGAATTATACCTGTATAGAACTCTTTAACTTCTTTTTTTCAAGCTTTCCAAAAAGATGGATTCGGACCTTGAAGCTGCCTGGATCATAGTCTATTCTCTAGCCAAGCAAGGACAAGGGTAGGGGGGAGAGAGAGAGAGAGAGAGAGAGAGAGAGAGAGAGAGAGAGAGAGAGAGAGAGAGAGAGAGAGAGAGAGAGAGAGAGAGAGAGANAGAGAGAGAGAGAGAGAGAGAGAGAGAGAGAGAGAGAGTTTTTCTAAAAGGGCAAGTATGTTGATGTCACTCTCGAGTATAGAATGAGCCAAAAACATATGCCCCGGGAAAGAAAACAGGCACAGAGTTCAAAACGCAAAGAAAGTACCGACGGCCGTGGTGTCAGGCTGCCTGTCATCACATCTACAGGGTTAGGCTGTGGTCTCAGACAAGAAAAGAAAAAGGAAAAAAGTTCAAAAAACTAGCCCCACGAATTCTTTTCTCCCCAGGTAGGGCCCGACGCGGGGTGAAAAAACAAACCTATCGTTTTCCCTGGGCGCATAGTACTGGCCCGGGTTTTGTCTCACACCCAAAACCAAAAAGGTTTCCGCTTGGGTGCTTTCCACCAATTATCTCCCCCCCACAAGACACACTCCCCCCCCCCAAAAAAAAAACAGTAGAATTACACAGAGGGGAACAACAGTCCAATTCCTGGTGTCGACAAAAATAGAGCCACACTCAATGTCTATCCAGAATGCATCTGGCACAGGTTGTGTACGTATCTGACCTAAACTAGGTCCTCAATTCAGTTGAAGCTGTGGAAGTGTGTGAGTACTGAGTATACCCTCAGGCTCATATTTCGCGGGAAGCGGGGATGGAGGTGGCAGTGGGTTATGACTAAGAGGGAGAAGTGAAATCCACCAGCATCTTCAGGACGCATCATGAGATGAAGCAGGGTGTCTTGAAATTGTGGTGAATGAACTTGAATCTAGTCCGCCGTCAAGGGAAGAGAGGAACAAGATAAGTAATGCGCAATGTTTTGCCCTATCAGGGCACACAGTGCAGAGAGAGGGCAGAAGAAAAAAGAGATGTGGAGACTAGAAGAGGCCGCCATGCTCCGGCAATGGGGCAGTCTGTGACTGACCATCTCTTGTAGCAGTTGCGTTGCATCATGAAGTTTGAATAAAAAAAGGAAGTTTGTAGAGCTGGGGTCGGGACCCACAAGCAGCGTTGTACAACATTTGTGAGGCTTTTTTTGCAACAAAAAGAAATTTAAATGGTTTTCCCGATTTTTGCAGATTTTAAAACCTCTTTTGTCTGTCAATTAAAGAAAGCAAAAGGACTTTCTGGGTTCTCCTGTCAGCCAATAGGCAACGAGGCAGCGAATTCGTCGCCTGTTTTTGAGGATGGGTTCTTCGGTCAGCCAATGGGCTGACTGTGTCATCTGAACGTTGTCGTTCTGCTTTGCCAATCTCATGAGTGGAGATCAGTCAAAGTGACTAAAACACACACAATGTCATCTGTTTAATCACACCAGTGCAGTACATTATGGAGGGTATGGAGGTTATGGAGGAAGAGTACGCAATCACACATCCGTAGTGCTATTGCTACGCCGGTTAATGCGTGGAAAGAGCGGCGAGGAAGCAAAGAGGAAACGTTGCAAATTTGCAAAATCACCCCCGACCTCAAAAATGGACAAAAATGCAATAGATGAACAGTGGAATTCGAATAAAAAAATCAAAAGAAGTACGAAGCCTTTCTAGAACACGGGCCTATTGGTTGACGCCCCAGCCACGAAACTTCATGGTTGCACAAACAGGTGGGTGCCGGGCCATGGATATCAGTCTCCATCCACAGACTGTATGTGTCTGACACGAAAGGCCGCACGTGATTGAAAACACCAGCAAGTCGCTTTACAACGTCTGTAGTGGGTCCCGCCCCCTTGGGAAAAAGAAAAGAAGAAATGTCGGCAGCTTCTGACTTTCGATCCGTCACGTCACCATGCATAAATATGTCCGAGGTAGAAAAGGCAAAACTATACTACATTACTATGCATAGAAGACAAAAGAATAGGAGGTAGGGGAGGGAGAACGCCACACAAGAAGAGAAAGTTGATGTGCAAGAGATGTTGTTGCTGCCCTGTAGGCCAGCCTCCCTCCGACAGGAGAACTAGTCTACAGTAGGAGAACATATCGAGGTGTGGAAAAATCTCCAGACAAGAAGAGAGAGAGAGAGAGAGAGAGAGAGAGAGAGAGAGAGAGAGAGAGAGAGAGAGAGAGAGAGAGAGAGAGAGAGAGAAAGAGAGAACGAGTTTGCGAGAGAGAGGGCGAACAATGGCACCAGTCACAACGTCAACTAAATAGAATTCCAACCTGATGGTTGCGCGGGAGTGCCTTTTCTACTGACTAGAGAGAGAGAAACCATGTGGCTGTTCTCCATATTGAATTCCAGCGGGAACACAGGACGCCCGTCATGCTGCCAATGGCAACATGATGTCAGCAGATGCAGCAATTCTTTCTCCTTCTCTCTCTCTCTCTCTCTCTCTCTCTCTCTCTCTCTCTCTCTCTCTCTCTCCGAGTCTCTTGCGCTTTCTTCCGCGCTCCTCCTTTAGCCCGAGAGTGGTCTGCCTGTCAAGAATACAAGAGGGAGACAACAAAGAGTGAGCAAGGCGGATCATGAGCATAAATCCCGAGACCAAATGAGTGCCAACCCTAGGGGAGGAACAACATTATGCGGGTCTAAAGAGTGCACCAAAAGGAAAAGAAAAGAATGGTGAGATCCGTCAATTAGATCGCACCATTAGCGAATTGCTAAAAAGAGGCTAGGGTCCCTTCCCGTGGTAAGCTGCCAATTACACGGAACTACAGCGACTAGAGAGGTTTAGTTGATGACCAAGATAGGAACAAATAACTACCATTTCGTCAAATGGACATTTTTTATTTTTTGAACGAAATTGAAACCGAGTTTTTTGGCCGAAAACAAGTCCAAAATTTTGGCTCCTGAGGGTGCAGCGTTCTTAAAATGCTGGACCGCCTGGATGTATGTGGACCAGTGCTGGACCCGTGAACGTGACTGGTACCGGTCAATTGAACGTGACCGGCACCGGTCACTTGAACGTGACCGGCCGTTCATTTGGTGTACTGTGAACAGGCTGACCACGAAAGAGTGGTGTTTCTTTTTTTTTTTGGAGCTCACTCAGCTACAGTAGCCTCAAGCCCCACAGCGTGATGACATTGAAAAAAAAATAAAAAAATCGAAATAACCTACAAAATAACAAACGAAAATCCTTATTTTGGCTGGTTGCATTTTTGTTTTCGTTTTTAATTAAAAAAACAATATTATTCCTGATTTTTTTTTTTTGAAAAAATTATGGTGATTTACCTCTTATGTCCCCCACCCTCCTATAAAAAATAAAACAACCCCCCTTTCCCCCCAGCCAGAAAAAAAAAAAAAAACCTTCCCGCTCAACGTCAACTCTGTCAACGAGTGCCGGTCACGAAAATCGTGACCGGTGACCAGCCCTCGTTCACAGACCCCATGACCAGTGACCGGTGCTACGGCACTGATGTGGACTGAGCTTAAGACCAGATACATCCAGGGGGTCGGGCATTTTAAGAACGCCGTACCGTCAGGAGAAGCAAATTTGGACCTGTTTTTGGCCAAAAGACTCGGTTTCAATTTTGTTCAAAAATAAATAATGTCCATTTTGACGACGTGGCAGTTAAATGAGGGAGAATTGGTAGGGAGAACTGTTAGATRAAGTCCATGCGGAACTGGTTAGGATGGCGTGGTTACGCTCCAACTGATAACAGAGGCCTGGGTTCCTCCAGATGATAAAAAGACAGCCAATGACCACCAGGAAACGAACAAGGGGTTACTGTAGTAAGTGGGGCCGATAGAAAGACAACACTGCTTGAGCCTGGGGTCAAAGTGACAACTTACAAGGCTCTCTCCCTATCATGCTTCAACCAGGGCTCGGTGCAACATCTGCTTAGCCCTGGTGCCTATAACTGCTGTCTGGTCCAAGTCACCTGGCATGTTGAACATATTTCAGGCCCAAACCACACCGCCAGGGGTTTTTTGGAAATTTCATTCAATCGTTGTCAGAGGGGTGTGACAGGGTAAGTTGGCCGTCAGAGGGGCATACTGCAAATAAATTGAATTTGRRGGG